TGACCAGATATAATTATATCTGGTCAGATCTAAACCGTTTTCCCCGGGTATTAACTATTAACAAATTAATTTATTCGATTACAATTATTTAATTTATTAAATTCTGATAAATATTTTTTAACATTCAATAAATATTTATTTGGGAGGAAAGTATATTTAGTAAAATAGTTTATAAGTATTTATTAATAGTTAACAAATATTATAGTTATATCTGGCTAGATATAATAAAATCTTTTTATGTCTGATTTTTTTTTTTCAACCCAGATATAGTTATATCTGTTTTGATCTGATCAGATATGACTATATCTGATTATGTCTGATGTATTTTTCACTCAGATATAGTTATATCTGTTTAGATGTGATCAGATATAACTAGATCTGATTATGTCTCCAATCCTATGTCTGATCAGATATAAATAGATCTGACCAGATATAATTAGGTCTGACCAGATATAATTATATCTGGTCAGATCTAAACCGTTTTCCCCGGGTATTAACTATTAACAAATTAATTTATTCGATTACAATTATTTAATTTATTAAATTCTGATAAATATTTTTTAACATTCAATAAATATTTATTTGGGAGGAAAGTATATTTAGTAAAATAGTTTATAAGTATTTATTAATAGTTAACAAATATAGTTATATCTGGCCAGATATAATAAAATCTTTTTATGTCTGATTTTTTTTTTCAACCCAGATATAGTTATATCTGTTTTGATCTGATCAGATATGACTATATCTGATTATGTCTGATGTATTTTTCACTCAGATATAGTTATATCTGTTTAGATTTGATCAGATATGATTATATCTGATTATGTCTGATGTATTTTTCACTCAGATATAGTTATATCTGTTTAGATTTGATCAGATATGATTATATCTGATTATGTCTGATGTATTTTTCACTCAGATATAGTTATATCTGTTTAGATTTGATCAGATATGATTATATCTGATTATGTCTGATGTATTTTTCACTCAGATATAGTTATATCTGTTTAGATTTGATCAGATATGATTATATCTGATTATGTCTGATGTATTTTTCACTCAGATATAGTTATATCTGTTTAGATGTGATCAGATATAACTAGATCTGATTATGTCTCCAGTCCCATGTCTGATCAGATATAAATAGATCTAAACCGTTTTCCCCGGGTATTAACTATTAACAAATTAATTTATTCGATTACAATTATTTAATTTATTAAATTCTGATAAATATTTTTTAACATTCAATAAATATTTATTTGGGAGGAAAGTATATTTAGTAAAATAGTTTATAAGTATTTATTAATAGTTAACCAATATAGTTATATCTGGCCAGATATAATAAAATCTTTTTATGTCTGATTTTTTTTTTCAACCCAGATATAGTTATATCTGTTTAGATTTGATCAGATATGATTATATCTGATTATGTCTGATGTATTTTTCCACTCGGATATAGTTATATCTGTTTAGATCTGATCAGATATGACTATATCTGATTATGTCTGATGTATTTTTCCACTCGGATATAGTTATATCTGTTTAGATCTGATCAGATATGACTATATCTGATTATGTCTGATGTATTTTTCCACTCGGATATAGTTATATCTGTTTAGATCTGATCAGATATAACTAGGTCTGATTATGTCTCCAATCCCATGTCTGATCAGATATAAATAGATCGGACCAGATATAATTAGATCTGATCAGATATAATTATATCTGGTCAGATCTAAACCGTTTTCCCCGGGCCAGGCTACGCCATTAGACTCGAGCTCAGCCTCGACCATACAGCCGTCCACATATTTAAGGCAGCTATCAACTGGGTAATTAAAGTACTCAGCATGCCTGCGCATAGACTACCTCTACTCTGCCTTCGCAAACTGGTAGCCTTGAATGCGACACCTTTCAACTCATCTAAACTAAATTGGGCCCAACAACTAAGGAATTTATTAGCTCCTATCCAGGAAGACACTATGCTTGATAGACTTGAGGCAGACTACTGGAAGAGAAGGAAAGACACCATTCTATCCAAATTTCAAACCTACATGCGCAGCTTGGACCTGAGCCGTTACCGGGCGTCCTCGGCCTGCCAGTTCAATTTCACCAACCAGATAGCGCCTGAACGTATAACAGTCCAACCTCTACAGCTTATGAGAACCTTGCTCCAACTGAGACTAGCCAGCAAATACGCCTGTCACATAACAATCGATGGCTACACGCACAGACTATCTCCAACCAATACGTGCTCATTCTGCCACCTTCCGGACACTGAATCTGCTGAACATTTCATCTCCGACTGCCCTGCACTATCTAACCTTAGACACAAGTACCTGAAAGATTGGCTCTTACATGAGCACCCTCAAGTGATTAATTTATCACTCCTTGAATCCTCCAACCTGGACACACTGAAGAAAATCCATGGATATTGCCGGGAATGCTTTAAAATAAATCTCAACTTAGCCAAATTTTAAAATATCATTGCCATTAATGTAAAATTTACACCACATTGTACTCGAAGCCAATTGCTACGAGAATTGTATTCTTTAACACGCAATAAACTATATTAAATTATATAATCATATATGATTATATACAACTATACATTTCTATTCTTTTCCTCTTTCTCAGCTGTTGACACGATGTTGCCAAATCTTTATTCAAATAAATAGCTGATGATAAACGAGTTAAAAACGTAAAATTAAACTTTCAATATTACAAAAATTATATCGGCCATGTATTACTATTAAATTTTTTTTATATTTTGCAAAAATCCAAGTTTCTTGTGCATAGTTTTTTATTCGTTAAAGTTGAGAGGTTAATATTGAAAAAAATAATTAAAGTCTCGATCAAAGTTTGTCCGCCATAAGACCCTGTGTATAAGGAGATAAAAAAATGTGATTTTTGAAATTTAATATTTAAGTAACTAAACAATGAATCTTTTTAAAATTTTGGGATTAGATAAATGACGTTTTTATTTATACGTCTACTTAATTTCCCGTCTGCTGTGCTACTATCTTATATGACAATGATTCTCTGAAGAACATAACGTATATATATTAATATATATATTAATATATATACGTTATGTTCTTCAGAGAATCATTGTCATATAAGATAGTAGCACAGCAGACGGGAAATTAAGTAGACGTATAAATAAAAACGTCATTTATCTAATCCCAAAATTTTAAAAAGATTCATTGTTTAGTTACTTAAATATTAAATTTCAAAAATCACATTTTTTTATCTCCTTATACACAGGGTCTTATGGCGGACAAACTTTGATCGAGATATTTATTTATTTATTTATTTATTTATTTATTTATTTATTTATTTATTTATTTATTTATTTATTTATTTATTTATTTATTTATTTATTTATTTATTTATTTATTTATTTATTTATTTATTTATTTATTTATTTATTTATTTATTTATTTATTTATTTATTTATTTATTTATTTATTTATTTATTTATTTATTTATTTATTTATTTATTTATTTATTTATTTATTTATTTATTTATTTATTTATTTATTTATTTATTTATTTATTTATTTATTTATTTATTTATTTATTTATTTATTTATTTATTTATTTATTTATTTATTTATTTATTTATTTATTTATTTATTTATTTATTTATTTATTTATTTATTTATTTATTTATTTATTTATTTATTTATTTATTTATTTATTTATTTATTTATTTATTTATTTATTTATTTATTTATTTATTTATTTATTTATTTATTTATTTATTTATTTATTTTATACCAACGAAAAAAAATAATTTGGCACATAAAACTTGTGACAGTTAAATAAATACAAATTTATTTTAGTATAAGAACTCCATATTTGGATGTTTTCCGGATTGAAATCTAGATTCACTCCGAAATCACGACGCTGAAAATAAAATTCTAGATTTACTTTGAACGCGAAATGTTAAATTACTTCACTCCGGAAAATATACAAAAAAAATTAGGATGACGGTTGACCCTAAAGGCCATCCCTGCAACTTCCCGCTCATTTTGTACAACTACACATTACGTTTTTGAGCTCTTTGAGCTCAACATTATTATTTTTGTGTCAATTAGAGCTCTTCGAGCTCAAAACTCTAATAGCAGTTTAATAAAACACAATTTTTTGAATTTTCAAACGGTAATAACTTTTGAATGAATCAACCGATTTTCACGCATTTGGCGGCAATCGACGCAGTTTTTGAAGCTCCATGGAAAATTTTCAAGTTTAAATCGATCGAGCCATGAATTTCAAAGTAATTCCGAAAAAACACTTTTTTCGGTTTTCTTTCGACAACGATAACTCACGAACAAATCAACTGATTTTGACCGGGCTTGCAGTGATCAACGTGGTTTTTTGAGCTTAAGAGCTGATTAGGTTTGGAATTGATCGATGAAGCCATTTAAAAGTAATTCCAAAAAAACCTCATTTCAAAAAATTTTTTTTTGTATTTTTATTGAGATTTCTCAAAATCTACTGGTTCGAATCGGTCCAAATAGTATTCAAAATCTAAGTTTGGTCAAGCCCTTTCGAATGGCACCAACTGCGATTAAATCGGTCAAGCCGTTCAAAAGTTATAAAAGGGTCACATACATACATACATACACACACACACACACACACACACACACACACACACACACACACACACACACACACGCGCGCGCGCGCGCAAACACACACACATACAGACGTACGGACATCATCGTAAAAATAGTCAGGAAAGCTTCTTAGGGCTTCCAAACGTCGAGATCTGTTGAAACCTCGATTTTTGCAAAACGGGGTAAAAACAATAACTTCCCGATTTTTCGAAAATCATTGATTTTCTTAGCGGGAAGTTAAAAATCCGCAATTAATAAGCTTTTCTAAAAATTTTTAATGAGGATATAGTTATCCATAGTTAAACTCAATTTATACAAAAATAACGAATTTTTCAGGAAAATTGATTACATAAAATTTAGAGAAATTAATACAATATGGAAACTCCGAACGACACAAGTCGAAAAAATTGTTCTCCTACGAAAATGAATGATTTTACCAAAAGTACTGATAATAATGAGATTTCTAAGGATATGCAAAAAGTGATACGATCTACTCCACTAACAGCTATATTAGTAAAAAATTCTGTGTTATTGCCTACTGGAGTAGCACGAGTCAAACCATACTCCGATGATAAACCGAACTCACTCAAAGATCCTGCTCGTCCGTCAAGTTCCAGTAGTTCTGCAACTGGTAAAAAAAAATATTTATTACTCATCTTCTTAATACTATACATATGTTCAACAAAAATATCATATATTATTTTATACTTATTTTATCAAATTGTTAATTTTAAACCTTTTGCCTATTACTTCATAATTTTTCGGTTCTATAAAAATTTACAAAAATAAAACTATCAAGTTTGTCAATTCAATAAAAACGGATAAAATGTTACACCATGATATGATCATGGCATTTTTAATGAAAAATTTACGATGAAGATCAAATTAGTCCATTAATAAAAAAATAACTTTCAAATTTTTCTTAAACTTTTTTAGCTAAAAAAACTCATAAGATTTCAAAAAATAAACACGGCGTGGATTTATCAGCACTTTTTTACGTGTGAATAGACACTTCTTTGTGTAATGTACTGCAATAAAATAATAGTAAATTAGTTATTTCATAATTAAAGCAAATATTAGCGTAAATACGATTGTTTTTATTTTTTTTTTACACATAATATTTTCGGTTTCGGTAAAAAATTTCAATTTGACTATTTTCTTGTGAGCATCAGAATAATCAATGACTTGAATGCGATGTTGAAATGAAACTATTGATTTTCGTCTCACATACTGACAGAGTTATAACCATTGTCATTTTAGTAAAGATGTGCAGTTGACCTTCATTTCTTTCATTTATTTAATTGTAATCACAATCACATTGATCAATATTCGACAATGCCGCGATGTTGTGGATTTTTATCTTGTTCTACCATAGATGATACATCTTTAAAAAATCTTAAAGTCCATAATAAAAATGGTTTGTTAATTATCGAATCTCGAATGTATTATGGTCAATATGAATGTGTAATTTTTGATTATATAAAAGTGAAAACATTACTTTAATTAATTATTAACATGATATGTTTCCGTCACAAGCTATTTATTGATTTTAGTAAAATTTAGATAGCTGTAGAGAGTTTAATTCTAATGAAAATTTATAGTACTATATGAATTATTCAGGCAATCCCAGAAATAAGACTGCTCTTGCACCCGGCCACAGTTTAATGGATTGGATCCGTCTGGGTGCTTCTAAAGTTGATCTTACTGGTGTTGGAGGTGTTCCTCAAGTGGTCACAATGACCGAACTTGCCAAACATAATCAACGAAATGATGCATGGATAGCGATTCGAGGTTTGATGTCACTTTCATTTCAAGTTATTCTTTTCTTATTACTATTAATAAGAACTTTTTTCAGGTGTTGTATTCAATGTTACAAGGTATATGGACTTTCATCCAGGTGGAGTAGAAGAATTGATGAAAGGTGTTGGAAAAGATGCTACTAAGCTTTTTGAGAACGTAAATTTGATTGAATTGTTCTTAAACAAACTGATTATAAATCATAAGTAATAAGACTATGTACCTGTAGATTATGAATTTTAGGTTCATGCATGGGTTAATTATCAAAGTATTTTACAAAAATGTATTGTGGGTCGATTGAGTAATGAAGGATTAATAGATACCCGAAGCATTGTTTCGAACTTCGATGAGAAATCTGCAAGAAATTCATCTTCTCTTACGGTTGGTGGTTAGTAACTATTTTGCAACAAGGAATTATAGGAATATTTTTTATTCAATTTTATTTTTATTTCAATAGAATGATAAAATAAAATTTTCATTATCAAATATTCACATAGAATGGAAACAAACTTCTAATTCCATAACATTCATTTACAAAATTACAAAAAATCAATCATTTCCTGGGTTCCAATTAATACGAAAAAATCCAAAAAATTTTGATCTGCAAATGTATGCACTTAAGAACATTATAAAACACGAATACGATCTCTGTGAAAGTGTACAATGGCCACCTGTATGGGAAAAAAATTTCAACGAAACAGAGATATCTTTTAATTTTTCTAAAAAAATTGGAACGTTATGGAAATCATACGGAAGTCGAACGGTTGTGAGTTATACAAAAAAAACAGAAAGAGATTATCGAGACTGGGAAGTTGTCAGCAATAAATTACTTGCTGAAGATGTTCATCTTTTAGTTTTGAAATCAACTAATTATATTGAAATAATAGAAACTGGACAACACATGGAAGCAAGAATGAATGTAATGGGTAAATGATTTTTACTTTTAGCTTAATCATATAACTCGAGTTAAAAATAATAATTTTCGATACTTTTTTAAATTATAGGTACTGAAATTTCAAGATATTATACACCAATACCTTCATTTCTTTGCTTTGAAGACAATTTATCGGCATCTAATCCCGATTATTTATACCTGATAATTAAACGATATGACAGTGGACAATTAAGTCCATCTGTTACAGCTCTTCAACAAGGACAAACATTAACTTTAAGTAACGGATTAGGAAATTTTGCCGTACAGTCTTTTGACAAGTACCCTTCTATTCTGATCTTAGCTGCAGGTACAGGAATAACACCGATGTTAGGGATTATTTACAGGGCACTTTATCGACGTAACGTGTAAGTACATTTATTATATCATTTAATTAGATTCAATTTTTTACACAAATTAAAAAAAAGCTCAATAGCTGAACTCTATTGTATTTTTATAATAGTTCTCTATCATAGTGAAATACTTTGAATCTTTTTTCATTCATTTATGAAAGCTCTTTTGAAAAGACCATTCGGCAGCCGAAATGGAAGTAGATTTCTCGAATAAAAAAAAACATATTTTTTATGAAATAATATTAATAATAATATACAACTTCTGTTACAATAAAACAATGACATCAAAACGAATGCAAAAGTAAAATTTCACTAAATCTGTCAGAGAAAATAGGTAATTTTTGGCCTAGACTGATAATGAGGTATGCAAATTAAAGCTTATTTAATAAGCTGAAAGATGCAATTTACAAAAACTTTACAAGCTATCGCATTCATTAGTTATTTCGCAAAGAAACAGTAAAATTGCCAATTTGTAAGGATTTTGAAGAATTCAAATTTCTGTCTTTCCTAAACTATTTAATTAGGAAAAATAAATAAGTATGCAAATTAAAGCTTATTCAATAAGCTTTTAGATGCAATTTACAGAAATTAAATATGATATCGTATTTAATTGTTATTGCACGAAAATAGCTTAAAAGTGAAAATTTTTGCGATTTTTAAAAATTTTTGAATTGCTCTCATTTCTAAACGAATCGAAAGATTTAGCTCATCTTAGAACTTAACCTCAGCAATCGTCCTAAGAATAAGTATATGTTACGTTTTATTGAGATCCGTATAGAATTGCGGGAGTTAGAGAAGAGACAAGGCTGATTGTATCGTATCTATAGGGCATTCCACGCCAAATCGACCACTTTTGACCCTGACCCCTTTTGATTTGGCTGAAAGTTTACCATATCCTTTTCTACCCTATCAAAAACGTCTCTCATAATTTTTTCAAATTTTTTTACCCAACCAAAAAAAAGTTACGAATTTTTCAAAAAAACCGCTTTTTTATTTTTAAATTGCCATAACTTTTTCAAAAATTGACTTATCGGGACGTTTTTTTTCAAAATTTTTGTTATTAAGTGTTCTTTTTGGAAAAAAATATAAAAAAATTATTCAAAGCTATCTTTATCGTTATTTTTAAAATTTTCAGATAAAACTCTGAATTTTTTGATGAATACCATTTTTAGTTTCTTTTTTCTTTTCTCATTCGAAACTTTGAAATTTTCTACAGATATCATAAAATTTTCAGAAAGGTGTTTTTCCGATTTCTATTTTTTCTTTTCAATTAAAAAAAAAAAATTTTTTTTTGTCGTATTTTTCATAACACCAGTGCAAAAATTTCCGGGAATCCTCAAAAAAAAAGAAAAAAGTATAGAACCAAAAGTTGAACATGTTTAACATCGAGAAAATCAATTTTTTTTAAATCAAAGAAAAAATTGAAAAACAATTGTTTTTTTTTATTTATTGCTTAATGAATGGTGGGCATTAAAATGAACAATTCTCCGATACTCGAAGTTTTATGGTTAAAACGGTTTTGTCAAATGGTTTAATACATGACTTTAATGTCTGAAATGCAATAATTCTTAAACTAATAAAAACATTTTCCTTAGCTAAGCAAGAAAATGTTCTTTAACAATATTATTTCTAATGATGGCACTTAATTAATTTTTTTGACGTGATAACGTCTTATAAATTGATGAACACCGATAGCGCTCACGAAAAAATGTCGCGTTCCGACAGACCGTTCCGCTTTTGTGTTCCTCCTGAGCGTTCCGCCTGAGCCTGTGAGTGCAAGCGAGAGTGCGCATTATAATTTTTTTTTTTATAATTATAATTTTTTTTTTTTTTTAATCAATTACACAATTAATTTTTTTCTTAAAAAACGAATGAGCGTTATGAGGCGTGCACTTTTGGATTTTCCAAACTTTTTTTAAATATTCAACATTTTTTAATTTTTAAATACAAAATAATGATAATTCAGTGATAATAATTCAATTCAATCCATAAAAGTATGCAATTTTTCATCAATGTTTCTTTATGACGTTATCACGTAAAACTATCTTCCGTAAACCGACTTTACAGACAACCAATTTTTTTTATGAGGAGGATTCATTGGTGGCGCAAACTATCATTTCTCGACGACTTCTAGAGTAATTTGAAAATAGACTTGGGCCTTCACAAGGATTAAAAATTTAAAAAGCAATTCTGAGAAGCTAATCTGGTTATATAACTTTTAGTTCTATATTTTTTGTTGTTTTTTAATTTCTTTTGTTTAAAAAAAATTGATTTTCTCGATGATTAACATGTTCAACTTATGATTCTATACTTTTTTCTTTTTTTTTTGAGGATTCTCGAAAATTTTTGGACCTATGAAAAATACGACAAAAAAAAAATTTTTTTTTTAATTGAAAAGAAAAAATAGAAATCGGAAAAACACCTTTCTGAAAATTTTATGATATCTGTAGAAAATGTCAAAGTTTCGAATGAGAAAAAGAAAAAAGAAACTAAAAATGGTATTCATCAAAAAATTCAGAGTTTTATCTGAAAATTTTAAAAATAACGATAAAGATAGCTTTGAATAATTTTTTTATATTTTTTTCCAAAAAGAACACTTAATAACAAAAATTTTGAAAAAAAACGTCCCGATAAGTCAATTTTTGAAAAAGTTATGGCAATTTAAAAATAAAAAAGCGGTTTTTTTGAAAAATTCGTAACTTTTTTTTGGTTGAATCGTTTTAAACTCGCTGGAACTAGTAAAGTGAATGTACCGAAGGAGAAATTTAAATCTTTGCAAGCTCATTGTTAGCCTAAAAACTTCTGTGCCCAGTCCACCTTTTTCCCATAATTCATCTAATTTTGAATTAAACTTGAGTAATCCACATAATATTATAAGGCCAAGAAATACTTTAATTTCTTCAAGATTAGTATTTTGACAATCACGTTGTCTTGAAAAGGCCTTACGAGCGACTGATATATGTGTGTTAATGCAGTTTACCAATTCTGCCAATATTTTATCGTTTAGAAATAGAAAAAAACAATCAACGATACTATTTTTTTCTTCTGTGAAAAAACTTGAATATTCAGTATTAAAATCATTTGATTTCTCAGAGTAAGCATCAATATCATAGCTTGAAATATTGCTATTATCAGCTGACAGGGCATCGTTCAAATTTTCAGAAGATTTTAATGTTAAATGTAGAACTTGATCGAATTTTTCTATAAATTCCTCTGTATCAGCGTCATAACCTTCATTGTCAGTATCACTCCAATTCCACTCGAATTTGACATCATCGATCAAAAATTTTTTTAGAACATTATCATTCAACATTTGAGCTGCCTAAGAACAGAAGTAATTAAATAGATAAATTTTTACATCATTGCAACCGGAAAAATTTCATACAACAACTTTTATACATACCATGTTTACATTCGAGTTAAAAGAAAAAACAAATCGTTTTCAAACACGTACCAACAACGAATGTTCAGAGTATATGAATAATCGAAATTTTTAAAATTCGATTAAATTATTAATTTTTAACTTGGAGAATAAAATTAATATATATTATTACTCCATACACGTGTTAATCAATTCCAAAACGGATTGTTGACACGAGTCACTCGTTTCTCTCAAACATCGACAGATGTCACTCTACTAATGTACTGGAAAAACGCAACAACGCCAGAGACACAGAATACGAACTACATAAGTTTAAATTTAATAAAAATATTTATATAAATGATTACAATCTCGAACATTTTTTTTAATATTTAAGAGTTAAAATAATATTATCATCAATGTTTATAGTCATAATGACAAATTTTAAAATTTCATAGAAAATTTAACATATTTAGTGAAAGTACAATAAGAGTCGATAAAATGCGAAAAAATACTGACGGGTGAGACTTATTTGAATCATAATAAAAAAATATCGACAAAACGATCAGAGATACAAAAAAATTGTAAGAGATCTTTATTGTACAGAAACAAATATACTTCAACCTTGAAAGAAAACATTTTTTTGTCTCCAACAGAAGACCAACTATAGTAATTTGTAATGGAATGAAAATTATTTTATAAGGGTTATTAGTTTAGTTCAAAAGTGTTTTGACTGTTGGCACAAAACAATTGCAGAGAAAGGGAAACTATTCTAAATTTTTCTTGTGAGGCAGAATATACGTACAATTACTGTCTCAAACTTTTTCTTCTATCTCCAGTAAAATACAAATTACATTATTTCATACAGAATAAAAATTGTCAAGTGGAGTATGAATAAATAATTGAATTATTTTAAGTTTTCTACTAGAACCGTTGAAAATACGTGGAAATTAGAAAAAATAATTTTAGTCGAATAGAAAGCTCTTAACAATTTTTGTCTCAAACACTTCGTTCCATCGGTTTGAGGATGAAAAATACCGTAGCGTGAAAAAAAAAAACAAAAGTAAATTTGTAGAATAATTTACTCTTAACTCAATTTACGATTTCCTATGATACGGTTGGAGATATCGGAAAATTGTAAGAATCATTTTTTCTTGTATGGTAAATTTCCTACAACTTTTAATAAGGATATTTTTCTTTTCCTCTTATACAATGCAAACTACAGTAGTTCGTATTGGGAAAAAATTTTTTTCCTTTTCAATTTATTCCATACTAATTTCGAATTTTCCTACCAAATTATTAGAGTACAGGAAAATTGCTTGAAATAGATTTTTTAGAGAAGTAAATTTCCCGCAATTCTTCTCTTATATTTTTTTCTCTGTCTCTAATAGAATACAAACTACAGCAGTTTATAGTTAAAAAAAAAAAAAATTGTCGCGTGGGGTACGACTGTATATTTATCTTGTTTTGCATTTTCTATATTGACCGTTGACTACACAATAATTTTGAATGAAATAACTTTTTGAAAATAAAAAATTCTCAACAATTTTTGTCTCAAACACTTCCTTCTATCGGTATTAGGATGAAACATACCGTAGCGTGAAGAAGGAAAAAGATATTGTAGAAAAGACAATTTCCTAAAATTTATAACTCATTTAGTTTGAACTCAAGCACAATTAAAAGCTCAAGATTCCGTAAATTTCATTCATAAATGCATAGCTTTGAAGGGATCAAACTCAAACCCCACGCGACATGTATGGG